CGATGGAGGATTCAAATTTCTCGAAAGTGCTAAAGATCTACCAACTATAAGTAAGTGCTTCTGTATTGTAATCAGGCGCATACTCGGTGGTGCTAATCTTGTTTTCTTGGAATTGATACTTGCTTAACTAAGTTAGATCTAGTGTTAACTGCATTCCTTTATATCGATTCATAAAACGATATTGTGAAAAGCACAAACCTATCTCTCTGCTAAGAAACATCATTGAAACACTAGAACTTGGTTATCTTGCTTATTAAGTGAAATATTTCTGATACGACTTCTTTATCCATTCTTTTTTTCAGTGGTTTCAGATATTCACTCTATTAACATCATGATGAAGTGTATAGCAGTAAGATCTTCGTGATCAATTTTCATTTGAAACGATTCTTTATCAATTATACCAATTCTTTATGTACTTTTTTCTTGCAGCTTGGTGCAGTTGAGTTCCTTCAGAAACCATTATCAGATGATAAACTGAGAAATATATGGCAGCATGTAGTTCACAAGGTCTTTTACCGAAACTGCACTGGGTTAAATATGTTCTTTTAGATTGTTCAGCTTATTGTATGTAGAGGAAACCTGACTTTTTTTTCTTACTCGAAACAGGCATTTCATTCTGGAGGAAAGAGTGTCTCTGAGTCACTAAAGCCGGTTAAAGAATCTCTTTTGTCCATTCTAGAGCTCCAACCAGTAAAACACGAAGCAGATAATGAGAATACTAATGAAGCAGAACCCTTGATATCAGTGGTGGAAAACCAAAAAGCATCATCATCCTGCTGCGATAAATATCCAGCTCCTTCAACCCCACAACAGAAACAAGGAGTGAGGTCAGTGGATGATGTTGATTACCAAGATCATACTATCTTGTCAAATGAACAAGATAGTGGGATGCATGAAGGGGACACAAAATCTGTCGAAACTACTTCTTGCGATTCTGTTGCTGAGACTACTGTCTTGGCAGATTCTTCCGAGCGTCTAGGAGAGGCTATCACAAAGGAGGAACACTATTCTGCTGCTGATCAACATATGGAGGATCCTATTGCTACTTGTTCACCAAGTAATGACAATGGCAGTACTTGTTCTGCTGACCCGAACAAAGCTTCTGGTCTCCATAGTTCAAGTGGGACAAAAGCTAATAAGAAGAAAATGAAGGTAAGATCCAACAACTGCTGACTAGTTGATAGTTCAACTTTGGCATTGGAGATGAAATTAAGCGTTCCCTTTGGATTTTCTTGATCTTAACTTGCAAATGTTAGATGAGATTTTGATGTCTTAAACAATAAGTAGAATTTGATATTTGGCAATCAGAATAGACTTTAAGCACAGTTGCCTTGTGCTTTTTAGCATTATATGTAGTTAACTCAGCATAGATTAAAGAATTCATGAATTTTTCAAATCACATGCTTGTGGGAGTAAGCTTTTGTCTCTCATTGAATCCAGGTAGACTGGACACCTGAACTACACAAGAAATTTGTTAAAGCAGTAGAGAAAATTGGTATAGATCAAGCCATTCCTTCTCGAATACTGGAGCTGATGAAAGTAGAAGGCCTGACGAGACATAATATAGCTAGCCATCTCCAGGTTTGTTGAGTTTTGTTCTGCTCTTTCATAATTCACTAGTACTCTAGTCTCTCAATTGAAGTTATTACGATACGTGAAGATGAATGCAAAAAAAATAAAAAAATCCTGCCTGCTTGATAGAAGGGAGCATGATATCTAACCTATACAGTAGATTTAATAAGGACAACAAACCTTACCATACCTCATAGAGACAGAGAGATTGTTTTCAATAGACCCTTGGCTTAAATAAAGCCTAGTTAGTGAGTAGGGTGACATTGTTAAGCAAGTTGTGCAAACACGAACAGACTATGACATTACTCAGTTTAAGAACATCATCCCTTTCTTCACGCAGAAATTCAGGATGCAGCGGAAGCAAATCTTGCCAAAGGAAGACGAAAGAAGGTGGCCTCGTCCTCAACCTAGAGATCCTGTACAGAGGACCTATTATCCACATAAACCTGTCATGGCCTTCCCAACCCATCATTCCAACCATGCAACCACAGCTGGTCAATTCTATCCTGCCTGGATACCACCAGGAGGTTACCCGAATGGTGCACATATGTGGAATTCGCCTTATTATCATGGATGGCAACCGCCTGAGACGTGGCACTGGAATCCTCAACCAGGGGTAATATTAATGCCCTTAAAACTAATGAACTATTTCATTTTTAAGCTGAAAGTACATACATTTTAAGTGTTTCGATAAATTCTGAACTCAAGGACTTGTAAAAATCTGTTTTTTGATTACTTGCAGCTGTATGCTGATGTATGGGGTTGCCCCGTTACGCCTCCATCTTTAGGATCATGTACACCATACCCTCAGGTAAATTCATTGGTGTTACGATCTATTTTGAACGTTCACATTCAATTCAACAACATATACTGGCTAGCTGTTTTATGTGAATGCACAATTGGACCATGGTCATAAATCATAACTGTACATTTGTTGTATAATGCAGAATGCATCTGGATTTCACAGGGCTGAGGGAATGCTGAATGGATATAGCATAATACAGAAATCAGTCGATCTTCACCCGGTAAGTACGTTTAATTTCACTTTGTTAAATCACTTAACTATAATAACATGATATAATTTGACGTAAACATCGAATATAAAATATTACTTTGCGCTGACTCTTCAAAATACACTACAAATTAAAATTTTGACATAGTAGTACTGAACATTTTCACACGTTGATAAAAAATCCTCATTTTTTTATTTTTTTTTATTTATTCAAATATATTTTTACAAAATTGTAATGGAGGCAAGGGCGGATGTAGTCCGGGTTCATGGGAATTAAGCTTTTGCCATTAAAATATTTGATCGCGAAGGATTTTTTTTAATTTATAAATTTTAAATCCTAAATTAAAATTATTTTTTATTTTCAAAGAATTTCTCTAAAATGTTTTGTAGGCAGAGGAGGTGATAGATAAAGTGGTGAAGGAGGCAATAAACAAGCCATGGTTGCCTCTACCCTTGGGCCTAAAACCTCCTTCAACGGAGAGTGTTCTCGACGCGCTTTCTAAACAAGGCATCCCCGCCGTCCCTCCACGCCACCACCGCTCTCATCGCCCACACTGACATGCCAATTGCTTACCGGGAATCCCATATACGGAGGCTCGTGTTTGAACACTCCACCCATGCGCGTGGCGATGACTTCACCCGACACGAAAGAAAAAAAGTAGATCCTTTAACTGATCCGATAAAGGTCTTGCCCGTGTGTTGTCCCTCCTCGCTGTGCGGCACAGAATCAGCCACGTGTTTGGCTTAGATTGATCAAAAATGTTTCGTTTTTTTAATATACTCAATTTATCTATAGTATTTTTTTACTAACTTTTTAAAATTACAAGTAAAATATATTCTCATTAAATATTTATTTTATTCAAATTATGATAAATAATTTAAACGGAAGTAGCGGTGCGTATTAAAAAGTGGGTTCTCCTCTCAAAACGATTAAAAAAATAGTTTCTCCTCTCTAGCTTGACTTGTAACATTATTGATTGCCTTTTTGATTTCAGAAAAATGGGTTGGGTTATTTATGGGAAGTGGTGTTGTGGGGCTATATTCGGGGATTGCAGTAATTTGAAAAAAAAAACAAAAAAAATCATTATAAATACGAATTAAACGCATTTTATCCATCACAAAAAAAAGTAAATTCTATTATTGAGTGCTAGAAAAGGGATGTTGAGTGGGTGGGTGGGTGAGGAATAATGAGAAAATTGTGATAATGAGAATTATTTACTTTAAATGGATAGTACGTTTTCAAATAACTTAATTCATGCATAGTTAAATAACTTAATATATGCATTCTCATTTCAAATTTATTTAGCATGTGTCAAAAGAATAATTTTTTGAAATAACATAGATTTATCTAATAAAGCTTTTAGAAAAGCTTAGTGTAGTATTTAAGATATGTGTAGATATTCAAAATAATTAGATATTTATAGTAAAATAGAGAAATACCTAAATTTGAAATTAGGCATTTATAATACAACTCAAATCAAGTAATGTTTTTTTATAACTAAGTTTTTTTAATAAAACACACATTTTTCTTTTTAACTTTCTTTTAATCTTTAGTAAAAAAATTTTCTAATTATACTTTTTAATAAAAATAATATTCTATTCGTCTTATTTCGAATTATGTAAAATTTTAAGTGTATAAATAAACAATCGATTTGTAGGTGATAGCTCAGGATTCTATTTGAAGAAAACTATAGAAAGTTAGAAACATGACAAGTTTGATTATCCAAACACTGTTCAAGAAAGGAAAAGTCCTTTTCTTTGCTCTTTTCTGTAGCATAAATAATTTGCTTGTGACTGATGAGCCAGCCACTGTGTTGAAGAAAAGTGTAACAAATCCAAGTCGGTCCACTGTTACAGGATATGTTAATAATTATTATAAGTAAGAAGAATTGGGCCCATGATGACAAGGATTTGTCACTCTGTGGTTGGAATAATTCAACATTTTAATGCGTCTCCAGTTTCAAAATCTAACGAAGAACTAGTTTAAAATGCGTCTCCGGTTTCAAAATCTAACGAAGAATTCGTTTGGTTGAGTGTATAAAAATAATATTCAATTGAGTATATTAATAATGCATGTATTACTTATGTATAGATTATTTTTTATGTATTGTTAATTTGATGTATTAAAAATAGGCCAAACTCCTGTCTTCTTTACTATACTCAATAATTTTTTTAATTTGCTCTTTAAAATTATTTTAGATTCTGTTTTTCTTTGAGAGAAGGAGAAGGGAAACAAGGAGAGGAAGAAAGAAAATTGTAAAATATGAGTGTTCATATCTATTCTTTTCGGTGAAAAATGTGAAATCGGAATTGTCTTTTTTCATACACTCTATAACTCTTTTGTGCTTTTTCTTTTCTTTTACTATTTTTTTTAATCGTTGTTTTGTGGGAAGAGGAGATATCAAATATGAAATATGGTATTGGTATTCATTGATCCGACAAAAAAAGTAGAGGAAGGTGACGGTTAATTTAGAAAAGTAATACAATGAAGAAGAAAAAAATGACTTAAAAATAGATTTGAATAAAAAATTTAACCTCCATTGAAGGAGTTCTTGAAAAAAATGGTCGGAGGTGGTGACTTAAAAATTAGAGAAGAAAATAAAATAAAGAATTAGCTAAATTAAAATTTTCACGCGCTACTATTGAGTGTATCACACTAACTTTGATATGTCGACAAAAAGTGTCTAAATGACACAACGGGACCCTACATAAAGTGTGTAAAATAAACATCGCACTAACTAAGATGTTTAAGTAAAATTCAGTACCAAATTTAAGGGATCATAGATGGGTTTGGCCTTAATTGAGGGATATTTTGACCCTTTTTCCCATTATTATTTGAGGGGGAAGGGTGTACGGTGAAGATGAAATGATAGAGTGGAGTAGGAAGAAGACTTCATATTTTTTTTAAATTATGATGAGTTGGACGATCCTATTAACATCATTCATTCTTCCAGTATTTGCCTATCTGATCCTATTTGATGAAGTTTCTTTTGCAGGTCTACCCTTAACCCGTCCCTAGTATCTATTTTGGCTACATATATAGGAAAACAACGCTGGAAAAACTATATTGTTGCCTACTGATAAATGCTGCTCACGGAACGATCACCATGGACACGCCAAATTGTTTCACCAAGAAGGTTTGCAACTGAGAGAACAGTCAGCTGGGGGAAGTAGTGTCTGTCCATCACAGGAATTGTGTTTGTGGTGATAACCTCTTCAAATAAGCCACTTGACAACATTCCGATTGCAGGCGGGCTGTCATCACAAAATATCAGCACTTTGTTAGTATAGCCAACAGCAAATAAATATGCATAATGACTGAATTGCGCGATAAGGTGCCTAATGAAAAAAAAAAAAAAAGAGCAATAGCATTTGTATTCAACTAAAATGTTGTTCAAACTCTAAAAAAAAAAATTAATGGATGCTAAATCAGCTTATGGTAAGTATGAATAGTCCATATTTGCACAGGGACCAACTATGCTCCCAGTCCAATTAACCCTTGTTCATGAACTACTAAAGAATTGAACAATTTGCATGCAGGAAGAATCCAATTGCACGTTAAAGAAAAACAAAAAATCAAGTGTGCAGAAAAGAATCCATACCAAGATGCAGTGTAACTGAAAGCTTATTCCAAAATATATAAATATTTTTCCATGTTTGTATGATGCACAGAAATGTTACCTAAAAACACCATGTGTGCAGCATGCATAGATTTCCCGTGCTCCCTCTTCGTGCAAAAGTTCTGCACCTTTGCAAATAGTCCCTACGATCCATAAGAAAGATGTCAAGCTGTTAACTGATGATATTCAAAACTGATCTCCTCAGAAGGAAGGATAAAAAGGGAGCTGACTAAGGACTACAGAAACACAAGGAAATTTAATAAAAACTGGGAATGGAAGTTCTTATTGAGACACTTCATTATATAAGACAGATTTACGCGTAACAAATAAAGCTGGATGCTCACATCCCTTTGAAAGGGAGAGAAAAAACTGAAATATCCAGTTTATGGCTTGCCATGAGTATCTGATATATGTAATCAAACTCACCTGCTGTGTCAATCATGTCATCAACCATGACAGCAACTTTTCCTTTAACATCACCAATCAGGTTCATAACCTGCGGGCAACAACAAAAGAGTAATCAATGAAAAATAAGATGGTGTGAAACGCAACCCAAAAATAAAAAAATGGAACTGAACCTAGAACCTAGAACTTATTGCTTTGCGAAATACTATAAAAACTCTTGGTACTGTTCTTTTGTATTCATGGATTATGAGCCTGTCTGGTTTTCTGCCTCTTTTTAAGTAGAAGATTTATTCATGAAGGTGACAGTGATAAAATACAAATAATAAGTTGGGAGATGATTCACCACATGAGCAAACCATATCTGAAAAGATAGACCAATATAGAGAGGGAGTCTATTCGAAAATTGTAGACATGCACACAAAACAAAAACACCACTGTACCATTATTATTTGCTGTCATGATCTCACTAAGCATTTGGCCTAGATCAAGTCATCTGCCTGCCAGAGATCTATGAAGCAGCAGTAGTTACATGGCCAAAGAGGATGATGCAACTCTCGTTTATAATTATCTCCATAATTTATTCTCTCAAGATTTAATTTAAGTTTCTTTGCATGCATGAGATGACTCTGTCAATATAATGAGGAAATAATAGAGCCCAACAGAAAAATTCTCTCAATAATTGAAAAGAATCATTTCATCTACTTGTCTTTATAAGTAAAAGCCAACAGGAGATAAAACAGTAAAGTGTGAAATCAAAAACATTATCTCTGCAACTACCTCAGCATGATTGTGCTCCTGGAATCTTTTGTCGACAATGGCTAAAGGTGCATCCAACTTTTTTGCAAAAGCACGTGCTCTAGCAACTGCCCCGACATCAGGAGAGACCACCACCAGATCATTGGAACTAATCTTCTTGCTAGCAAGGTAATCCGTGATAACAGGCTAGCATGTACAAAGAACACAAACTGCCAATCAGCTAAGTGAATTTGCAGTTCTTAATGTTTCTGACGCACTTAATAGATTACCTGACAGTGTACATGGTCCACTGGAATGTCAAAATAACCCATGGATTGCCCAGAGTGAAGATCACAAGCTAGAACACGATCTGCACCTGCTTCTGTTATAACGTTCCCAACCAATTTGGCAGCAATGGATTGACGATTTTGTGTCTGAAAAGATATAAAATATGATAAATAGACATGTATTTAAGAATGTCCTTATATTATTACTCGTTTCTTTAAAAATATCGTCTTTCGCATTCTTTTGGTAAATATTCTCATCAATTAATAACTCCTAGGAATTAACCAGAGAAATCTTGATTGACAAGAAAAGTGAAGACGAAAAAAGCATAAATAGGACAGAAGAATCCAGGCTGAACATAATTAAGTGCAGCACCTCCCAAGAAGTCAAGAGCAAAGAGCATAATATACCGATCAACTATGCTTCAAACGCAAATTAGATGGGATAAGTCAGATGAATCCTTTGTACCCATTACGCTTTATTTAGATACATCCCATTCCAACTCCAAATCATTTACTTTTTAAGATGAATTTAGAGCATTATAAAACAACAACAACTGGACATTCTTTCACTCTCATATTTATTCTTGTACATGGATATACAAGTCTCAACCAGCATAAATTTCTCTAGTCTCCTTTTATCATTTTCATTGACTTGTGCTGTCAACTTGTGAATAATAAAAAAATATGTAAACTAAAAACACGAAATTTGGACAGCAGATAAACTTGCCTTCCTATCAGCTCTGGCATATCCAAAATATGGAATCACAGCAGTGATATTTTTGGCTGAAGCCCTTCGGCATGCATCTATCATCACCAAAAGCTCCATAAGGTTTTCATTGACTGGAGGGCAAGTGGGCTGAATCAAGAAAACATCACATCCTCGAACACTTTCTTGCAACTGGACATAAATTTCACCATCAGCAAAGCGCTTGATGGTGATCTTCCCCAGTTCATGCCCCATGTTCCAAGCAATTTCCTATGGAATAAAGAAAAAGAACTACATGTCAAGAAAAGAAGCATAACTTAAAAGATGACAGAAATTCAATGGACTTCACAGCTTGAATAACAATTCATGTAGCAACTGATTATTTTTTATGATGATAGTAGTGTCCAGGCCAGTTTAAACGCAACCTAAACTATTTCATCAGGCACCTGCTACCTCCAACCAGCCTAAGCAACCTTGACTTTTTCCTGTTTAATTTTTGTAATTCAATCACCTTGATATATAGGAGTCCAGGAAATTAGGACCAAAAAGAAAGGCGTGCTGGAGGCAGAGGCGGACTTACACTATAATGAAGGGGTGCACGAGAACCCATAAGTTTAGCTCTACCTGTGGATTATTATGTAGATACATGCTAGAAATATTTTATATACAATAAGTGGGCACCCGTTATCAGATAAAGGTGCACCAAACGTATATGAGGTCATCTAAATCCTTTTTATTTGCAATTGATCCTCTATTGAGTCTTTTTACAGTATTCCATCTACCATTGCATGGCTGCTTTTTTCTTTCTCTTTTCTTTCCTATTTAGGTAGTATACTACATTTCCATTACAATCTTTAAAAGACTATGTCATGAGAAGAGAAATTAAAGCCAAAATGTCCACACTAAAACATAAACCATACACCATTTGCTATAAATTATAATAAGAAACTGTATCAACTAACAGGTTTGCTATACATGAGAAATTAAATTCATTATACTATTCGCCATTCTATTCCTGTACTTAAGAAATTAAATTCAATATACTATTCGCACTTCAATTTTGTTGTAAGGTTTCCTTTCTTTTCAGACACTACTTTAATCATTCTTCATCATTGTGTGATCCAGTCCATAGATTCTTTCATATGGTAATCTTGGAAATTTCTATCTTTTACTCATGTCACTGATGATATCCGTACGTGTTCTAACACTATATAAACAGGACAGCTTTTCCTCAGTTGGAAGATACCACAAACAAAGACATTTCCACGTAAAAATACTCGATGGACTTATTTCTCTATTTTATTCCCATTATTTGACTATTAACATTATGTGGGTACTCACGAAGTCACCAAAATCATTAGTAATATATTATAAGTGAAATTACATGCATTGTTACACATGATATATGAAATTCTTTGGGCATGGAAGAGATTGGAGTACTTATACTAAACTGTTAAAGACACTAACATATCAAGTTAGAATCCTAGAATGTAAATGTCTAACCTTTCATCATTCAGAATTTACAGAGAACATAAGAGGATCCAACAGTCATTCAAGAGAAAAGGGATAATGGTACAAAAGCAAAACTCACGGTCACAAAAAATAGCAGGAAAACCTCAGTGGCATTCAAGACAAATTAGTATATAGAAGTATTTATAACTAGGCATCCCCAAGTCCTCATATACAGAAGTATTTACCTCAGAAAGTGAAGGATTCGCAGTTCCAGAAAATAACTTCAGTTTTGGATTCAGCTTGGTGTTATCGCTGGTAACTGCATTCTCTGAGCATTTGTCTTGCAAGAACGTTGGAAGTATCACATCATTAATGATTGGCACATTAGGCTTCTCATTCGCTGGTTCATTGATTTCACAATTCTAAGACAAAAAAAAGATAGACAAGCATTAATTAAATTAACAACTTTGCAAAAGCTCAAAAGACGTTGAACCAACCAAGTAGGACCTCTCATAGAGCTAAAATTCATGAAACTGGCTCCAAAAGTAAATGAATATATATAGCAAATCTAATTTCCAGATATGAAAAAATTATGCAGAATTAGGATAAAGAATCCATTTTTCCTGGAAGAACATAACCTATATAGAAAAACATAGACTGTTACTGCTTCCTAAAAGAACATAACCTGTATAGAAATGACCTGAACAAAAAGAGATATACATTTATCTCTTGTCTCTTAATCCAAAACAGGTAATAACTTTAAACATTTCGGTAAAAAAGCTGTTACTCCAACAATGGCAACATTCAGATACAAAATCATTCAAATCTAATCATTACTTTAGTCCATCCTAATTTTCTATAAAAAATTCATGGAAGAAACAATAAAACATAATTTTAATTTTTTTAGGTAGATGTGTTTCTATACTTCAAAAAAGAACTCTTCAGTACTGAGACTGATAGTACACAATTGAGACTTGCTCAGCACCTCCACCATCCATCAACCGATAGTACAAGCGAGAACACTATTAATCCTTCCGATATATATATATATAAAAAAAAAGATGACCGACGATGGTACAATTCTTTTCGAAAAGAATGAGTAAAACAGAAAACTGAAGCATTTTACAAAAATAAAAGTTGGTGAAAATTACATGCTATGCAATCTAACTCATTCGTCATAAACAAGAAAAAAAAAACTTCAGTCAAAAAAGGGGCAAAAACATGGCGTTACTTGATTTCATTACATCTCCTCCATCTAAATTAATTCAACTGAAATTCATTCTTAAACTTCTGCTTCTTTTCATGGCAATGAAAAAAAGAAGTACATATATAAAAATTCACAAACTGATCGTCCACGTCTTCACCACAACAAAGCCCGGTAGGGCCAAGGATTCATCAGCCAAATTTCAAAATCTATATAAATGAAAAACTACTTACAATGACGGAGTTGAGAGGCCGGGTTCGTTTGGGAGCAAAGCTTGTGCGATAGAGAGAAGAGGTAATAGAAGAAGAAGAAAAGGAAGAGATGAGAGTGTTTTTTTTAGTAGAAGAGAAAGAGGAGAACAGAGTGAATGAAGCCATCACAAAATCAGAAGAAGAGCAGAGTGACCCGCCCGAGTTTCCTCTTCCCGTATTTATATGTGGGGCTTTTCGGTTTAGTGTCAGGAGGATTTTGTTTGCTAGGTCACACAATGACAAACACGCAGGTGTCAAAGCAGGGTCATTTTACGTGTTTGAATCTTTTTAAGGGAAAAAAACAATAAATTTAGTCTAAAAGAGATTTTGACTAAATTTAATTTTTTTAGTCTAATATATTTAATTTTTCATTAATCGAGAATTTGAAATGTTTGTTAATTAATTGAGATGTTTTTTGTTCTAGTTTGGAACTATTTTGACGTACTAAATCAATAATACTCCATTCGTTTTTTAAAAAAATCTTTTTATTTGTTAATTAGTTGAGATGTTTTCTATTCTAATTTGAAATTATTTTTGATGTAATAAATCAATAATACTCTATCTATTCAAGAAAAAATCTTTCAAGTCTGTATAAAAAAGAATAAACTTTTTTCCTTTTTAATATGTTTAAAAAAGAATAAAGAATTTTCCTTTTTGATTTGTTTTAAAAATAATATTTTAGTTTTTAGTCAGTTTTAAAAAGAATAAACTTTTTCCTTTTATAGTCTATTTTAAAAAAATGACATTTTTTATAATAATTTAATTTCAGATTTTCACGTGATATGTTTAAGGCATAAGATTAAAGGACATATTTATAAATTTGACATAAATTTAATTTAAGAGTCAAGATTGAAAAATCTTCTATATTTTCTTACTTCATGTCTAATCAAATCAAGTCATTTTTTTTAACGGACAGAGTATAAGTTTTTCGTAACATGTGAGTATTTAAGTAGGTTAACATTTGATAATTATGAGAAAAGGCATTTAAAATGTCGTTAACTTATTGAAAATGATTTAATTTTTTCCTTGTATTGGACATCAATTGATCTTAAACATTAATTTTCAAAGTTAAAGATGTTTTTTCTTTTAATGGATTATGACAAAATATGTGTGTAACTAAATTCAATAAATGAATGCATTTTGCTTTGATTTAATATAAAAATTCTATACGGATAAAAAAAAATTATTCATTGATTCATTTGGTTTCAATCATAAATTATTCGACTATATGAAAACCTAAAAATTATTTTGAGTTCAACGATAGCAAAGTGATTTCACCAAGCTAGAAATACTTGAATTTTAACAACTAACTTACTTCAAAAGTTAAACCAATTCATTTAACTCTCAAGAATTCAACAAAAATTGTGGTTATAATATGAATTTCTTATTATTTTGCTTAATTGTCATGATAAATGACGGTTTAAAATTTGAAAACGTTTTATAAATTAAACAAATGAAGTAATAATTATTATAAATTTATAAATATTACAAAGCAAAAAATAAAATTAAAAAACAGATTACAATTAATTAAAATTTATATCTATTTACGTAAATTAGTAAAATCAAAGTCATAATTTTCTAATAATCAAGCAACAAAAAAAATATACTACTAAGTATAAACAAAGAATTGTCACGTGATTTTACCCCTTCCCACCAAGATAGCGTGTTATTATTATTATTATTAATTTTTTTGAAATATTACATGTTGCTGAGAGAACATCATAACACTCTCTTGCGTCATTTTTACTTGTTTTGTACTAAAAACGTTTTTCACTTTTAACTTTTAGTATATTAATTTCATATAAATATTATTATTACATCTTCCTAATTATTAGTATTATTTTTTAGGAGACGTGTAAAATTTTACGAATAAATAAAAATGAATGGAGAAAATAAATTTGTAAATATGTGGTTGTGGGGCCATCTCTTTCCCCAAATTCCATTTTTGTGGAATAATCAGTATTACTTTGACGGGGCCCAATTTTCAAATGTTCCAAGACGACGTCTTACAATTTGTGAGAAGAATAATTGTTGGTCAAAAAAAAGAAAAAAGAAATATGCCCATTTGCTAATAAAATTCTTATCTTGAAGATAATTTTATTTTTTTTAAAAATAAATTTGGATTTTAAAAATTATTTTCGTCTCAATAATATCCTTATTTTTATTAAATAATTATGGAAGATACTAATTGCCAAATTAAGGTTTTTAAAACATAAACAATAGAGTTAATTTAATTAAATAAATCACAAATATATATTTATCAACTTAACATCACCAAGTAAAATGAAAGGAAGGAGTATTAATTACTATTTTCTTTATTATTTTTACTTGTTATACTATTCTAGAGATTGATTATTATTTTTGTTTATTAAATTTAGAAAATTAAAAGATAAGTATTACTTTATTTCTGATTAATTTTTGTAATTAATTATAATGTATTAAATTTATTAATTTTTTTTAAAAATTAATACTAAACAAATAAAAATAAACTGAGAAATACTGTTAGAATTTACGCTCCACTAATCTATTCGATTATTCCAAATTCTCACCAGTCACATCATAAATGGGACTAGTCTTACATCACTAATGCTCTTTTTATTTATGAGTATCAAATTAGTGAATTAAATTAATTTTGAATAGACCAATAATAAATTGATGTTAAAATGGACTGGATTGTAATTTATTCATATAAATATGGATAAGAATGAATTTTAGCCAAATATAATTTGAATAAAATTTTATTTTTACCTCTTGTAATTCTTTAATTTAGTTTTTTCCTTTTTTAATTCTTTTAAAACTATTTTACTTATGCTTGTCTATTTCTTTTTCTCAGTATTTGAAATATATTTTAAAGTATGTCTATGATTATGCTATGATACATGCATAATTAGATTTACACAATCAAATTAAGTAAATACACACATAAAATTAAATTAAAAGAACGTTATTTCATGAAATTTCATATATGAAAAACAATATCATATAAACTCACAACAAATATATTTATCATACATATGGAATTTAACATGTTCAAGAGATCACAAGTTCAAATTGTGAATAGAATCTCTTGTAAAATGATAATGTAGTGTACAAACCGACTTCAACTTTATAATTTGATCATAAAGTCGAACTGATCTATGGAGAATGGTTTTTCAAAAGTTTCTTCTTTTTTTTTTTTAAGAGAAAAATGAACCTCAAAAGATGTTTGTTTCCAATTTTATTTTAATTTTTGAAAAAGTTCGAACTCATGAGGTTGATTTCGAAACAATAAAATGCATTATCCAATATTTGACCCCTACTTCTGTGGTAGAATGCATTTTAATCACTACTAGATAATGAATGCTTATTGATTAAAGATTATAGTTTTTATTTGTACTTTTTAAACGTATATTTTGGTGAAAAAATTAACTTGTCACTTCTAAGCAAACGTTGATCACAACCAGCATGATGAAACAAAATTATCTAGGAATCATAGACTACAAAAGACGAGAACTAAAGAAATCACTATAGGAACAGAGTCAAGTTAATTATTTTTTCTTGTATGAACATATATAGTATCAAGAATATACATGGGCAAATATCGAATGTGGCTCCCAACCTCAGCCGCGATTGCGCAGATAATTAGTGCTTACAGTAAACAAAAAAGAAAGAAGAGTTGACTACTTGCAACATGTTAAAGGCAAGTAAATTTCAATTCAACTCTAGGATTAGATTCTGTTACGCATTGCTGGAGCTGAAGAATTAAGGGTTCTTTTGCTAACCAGGGAACGATATCAATCAATTCTGTATTTATATCAAATACTTAAGTATCAGGATGACATGATAATAACCTTGCCCAGTATTATGTGATTCATCCTAAGGAAGGTTAGCTCGCTTTGGAGGTTGCTCTACTGATTCTGTCTCCTGAAAATATAAGTGGGACAGATAAGTTAGTCACCGTTCTAGTTCTAAATAAATCATCTATAGAGGATGTGCTTAAGGACAATGTCTGAAGCAGCTTACACAGAACAGACAAAAAAAAATCAAACCAAACCACTCCGCATAATAATATCTGAAAAACTAATAAGTTTGTCACTGAAAATTTATTATCATGCACTGATCAATAAAAAAGTTAAAGTCATGCAATTGGGTAGTTAGAAATATTGTCACAGCCAGTAACAAAACAATCAAGCTGATGAACTTTTGCACCTTTTATCATAACTAAGAGGTGCCAGTAATTGTTGTTTAAAGAGACTAAACTAAAGTTAGTGTCGCTGCAACTATCCATGTTCACTCTAGGAAGTTTTCCAACCCCATAAATATATGAATGATTTGACAATCCAACGGGAGAGGGATACTAACCTCTTGGGATATTTTTTCATTTTGGGTGTTGGGGATGGGAGGTGGGGTAGGAGAGTTTTGTAGTACCTGTTGAATAGCTTGAGCCCTGGATAAGGTCTTGAGCTGGCAGTTTTCTATGTTTGAGAGCAGCTGCATTACAGTTTTCAGCTGAGGAACACTGCAATCATTAACTTTGACATGAGAGGAGTTGAAAAAAGAGTAGCCAAGACAGCTGAATCCGGAAGAATAATTCTTCCATCTCAAAGGAAGAAACTTCCATTGCAATTATCAAAGTAAGATCACACTAGCATTAAATAAGACTGATAGTTGTTCATCTATTGTCAAGCTTACCCAAAAAAAGAATAAAATCTTGGCTTTATTGATCATAAACTTTAATGGTCAAACTTGTGATAATCTACGCAAGTGAGTAAGTAAGTCAAAAGAAAATTCTAAATCGCATCCATCTTCATGCCTAACGTGGAAAAATATCAGGCTATGCAACTCTACAGACTAGAAACACTTAGTGGTAAGAAGAACGCACTCTCTTTTACACATGATCCAAATCTTCCTCCTTTCAATTTCTCTTGCTTTACAAAGAGAGCTGATCAATGTATAATTTCTCATTAGAGCATATCTACCTAGTTCCATACCCTGAAACAACCTTCTTTTTCTGAAGTAAAAGCACGATATACATTTTTGTGGAAGATAACTTTCAGCGTGTAAATGAGATATATGACAAGCATCCCTACGAAAATCTTTCTCGGATCATTTAAGCATTGACGCATTTCAAGTTGCATATCACAAGCTCACTTTGAGAGAAGAAAGTTAATTACAAGGTAATTTCATCAACCATTAGTTCGTAAAACCAAAAATGCGTGAAAGGGCTGACCATTGTAACCCGTTGTCCATATGAGCATCCAATGACGAAATCACCCGAGGCAATTGCTCCAATACCTGCAACGAGCAAATTCAAAGCAATAAAATTAGGATTGGAGCTTCCTCCAGGGTCACCTTAGTTGAAATTCATAAATTATAACTATAGGAAGACCTGCATACCAGCTCAGTATTCTTGATAGTAGATGTCTTGGCAAAAAGACTCTTTGGTAGCTTCATCAGTTCCGCCTGAAGCATATCGAGAAATGTGTCAGCAACACATGAAGTACACGTTAAATCTATAGTGGCCCTAACGCATACTTCCTGTATTTTTTTTTCCCAATATAAAATAACTTACATGTTAATGCTACTAAGTATTTAAACATTCTTAAGCGAGAACCTTGTGCACAAAGCTTTAAAAAAAGACACTCCCTCTATAACCGTCTATAAAAAAGGCATTTAATTGAGCACGGAGTTTACAACAGTAGTTTAACATAAGAAACTATAAAAGTAGTTGATAAGCTAGTTGAGGATTTTGAAGTATTAAAAGCTATAAGTATTTGTGGAATGATATCACACATTAAGGAATGTCTCGAAATGGAAAGAGTGCCACATAAATTAAAATGGACAAGGCAATACAATAGAGATCAAGTATGCATTGATAAATATAGCAAAGGCGGAAGTGATTCGAAAAAAAAAAAACCTAATTAGCAGCTTATTGCCTTGAAGGTCACTCACAATTGCTATTGTTGTTAACAATAGAGACTGAAGCAATTGAAGAAATCTCTTTTTTTGGTTTCCCGCACTACCAATCAATCACACTTCAGCCAAAAACAACTAATAAACCCCAATTGCGAAAAGTGTAATCTTTGTTCTATGTGGAGCTGTATTCAGCATTTCAGGCATACCCACAAAGATAATTTAACTATTAGACGAAATCAAGTACACCAATTACTACAAGAGCATAAGCAAACAACTGGGAAATTAGTTTTAGATGAATTGATCTAGAAAAAAAATTAAGGAAGGAAAGAGAGAAGAGGTGCCTGAGATGGGGAAGACTGAAACATGAGATGGAGGAGATTGGAAGTAGACTGTATAGACTGTGTAATTTGATCAGCCACCATCGTTTTTGCTGTCCCATCTCTGCTACTGCCGCCCTTGACGGTCGACGGCGGCGTTGCCATCAAAATTTTCTCGGTGGGTACAGAGTGTCTGACTCTTGAGTTCGCCTGAATTGTGAATTCACAAAAAAAAAAAAAACAATTTTTTTCCCTTTCCAATTTGTGTTTCTCACGTTTTATGTTTTAAAAAAAAACTTCCCCAAAATGTAACCTAGACTCTCACAAAAAATAAATAAAATAATGCAGGTATTAGTGTCGTGTATTACTGGTTGATACTTTTTTTTCTATCGATGTATATTAGTTATAACACTCTATTATATATTAAGGTGTGTATTGTTAATATCATGTATATCTAGATATTACAAATGTAATAATTTTAATATAATAAAAGATTTAACTGTCTCTCGAAAGGGTTTTTACATTTTTTTCACTATAAAAGTAAAGGATATTTTTGTAAACATTTTTTTATAATGTCATACCTACTATTTTTAATGCATCAAACTAAACAATACATTAAAATAATATATGTATAATTAATGTAAGCATAACTAATACATGTATTACTAATGCAAGCATTATAAATACACTTTATTTTGCATTATTATTATTATTATACACTCTACCAAAACGATACCTTAATGTATCCAAAAAATTTGCCCCAAATAATTCTAATTCACTAAATTGTCTATTTACGGGTTTATACGGATTCAATTTGCTCATAATTTGTATATGTATTAAAAAAATTTATTAAATATAAATTATTATATATTTACTTAAAGCTAGGGGTGAGTGCAGTACTGGATTCTCGACTAACGGGAGTGTTCAATGGAAAATTAAACCAACGCACCAAACGGAAATTCATTTTCTTTTTTGGTTTGGATTAATCTAGTATCCAATTATCCTTTAAGTTGGCAATATTTAGTTTAATTTGATATCTAATTTCACCATCTTTTTACTTTGATCGGTAAAATTTCTTATCTGACGAGATCTTAAATGATGAATTTTCCTACTGTATTATAAGTTTATGGCTTCAAAAGTCAGAAAGTTTATGTTTCATGCTTCAAAGCAGTGATTGACTCTTCCTCTACCAACCTTCCTAGATGACTAGATAGATACCATTTTCTACAGCCAATGCAAAACACAGATATACTCACATCCACATATATAACCATCTTAGCACATGGACACAGGGGATGAGAACCCTGTATCAGACACAAAGAGGAGAAAGGTTGAAGAGGCTGCAGATGCTTGAATAAGAGAAACAGGGGTTGCAAATTGCAATTGTAAAGTAGAATGACGCGCTGTCAGCATCTGATGATAAAGATGCATCTCCAGATAGCACACAATGTTGATATACTTTCACAAAGAGTATCACAGCAACAATAGTGCAATATGAAGTAAACGTTCCAAAGTTCCAAGTTAAGTTGCTGGGCTTGTCACGAAAAGATGAAGCTTACAGTAATTTCCTGAAATTATGTTCATCTTAAAAAGGTATCCCAGCTGCCACATTACACCCCTTGAGGTACAAACCCTTTCTCGGGCCCTGCGTGAATGCAGGATGCTTCATCCTTTCACGCTGATCAAATTACAGATTTAGGAGCATTACTTCCAAGCTATACACAGAAAAACAAGTATATCTGTAGCACAATCCTGCCAAACTTAAGAAAAGCATTCAGGAGTAGCGCATATTATCAGGAGGAGAAAAGCTAGCAGCAGTCTCCAGGATAGCCCCTTGACACTATCTATTAGGGTGCCAGAATAGCTTTCACAATAGGTCAGACTACTAGGAACTGTGTGTTCCCAAACTAATTCAAAAGAATATGCTTAGACTTCCTTTTTCTAGTAGAGGAAGTGGATAAATATGAGGAAGAGGAAATATACAGAATTGTGAAAGAACAATTCCAAGCCCCCAACAAACTGCCAATTCTGACCTGTTGAAGTGCCAATCTCTATCCAGCACTTTTTAGCTCTAAGAAGCCTGCAATTTCTTCCTCAAAATCAACCCCTCGTAGAGGATCAATCCCCTTAGCCCCACCATTTGTAGATAGATGAAGAAAAAAGTCCAGCATATTTGATTTTTTTTTTTAAAACTGGTAATTTTCATATTTTATTTTATTTTTTTTAAAAAAAATTTACACATGCATTTAACTTGAAAAGAAGTTGAAACTTTGTGAATGGGGGAAAATTACTTGAAAAACTTGTCAAAACCATTTTTTCAAACTTAAAACTTTAATGTATACCCAAACGGTTTATTGAATAAAAATTTGTATGGACAAACAGGTGAAGTCTTTCATCTTTTTAAAAAATATGCAGCCATGAGTGCTAAATTTAAATAAAGCAAACACTTTACTCCACAGTACTGAGCATTGGTATTTGGATAGTCTTAAAGATCATTCTTGCAATCTTTGCACATCTGAAACTCCTGTCACTCGTAATAATGAGTCATATTTTTCTCAATGAGCCATCATATATGCACAACATATCAACCATGACAATTATTTGAGAGGGACTTCCCGGCGCGAATCCGGATTTAGTCGGGCTCCAATGTGAATACTGGACACCGGGTGGGAAATTTTAAAAAAAGACAACTACTTGAGAGGGAATTTGGTGCCACGAGGAGATTTATTGCTCAGTAGGGTGGAGATGTACTCATGTAATTAGCTAAGGGATGCTCCAGACAGCTGACCAAGGTTACTTGAGAGTGCAGATGGAGTTAAGCACCTGCCCATTCACAGACCAAGGGAAGGGGAAAGTCGAAAAGGATTAAAAGGAGGAAGCTAGTAGCGGCTAAGGGGAATGAAGTACCACAGAGAGATCATTTTTACCAAAAACAACCTGCTTGAAGTGTCTTTATTGCATTAACATAGTACATATAAGCCAGAAATGGAACTCCTAATCTTCTTTGCTATTGAAATGGCAAGGTGTTACTTTTTGTTGATAGAAACATAAACATGATGAAAGTTTTATGCAAATGATATACTGAATGAGCAAAGAATCAAACCACAGTTATCTCTATTTATTCTTTAAACAAATCATAGTCATCTCTATTAATTACAAAATGAGAAAAGAGATGCCATCTGCATTTCAAAGAGAAATTGCGTAGATGCAAGCTGCAAGGCAAGGAAACATAAATTATAATGTAAGATTGCTTTCCAGTAAGGAATAAGAGAAAATGAAGCTCAATATTTTCTATTGTGTTCCTCATTCTCCGGTCCTATTCTGAAATAGAACTATATTGCAAAGAACAAGTTTCAGTTGAAAAGCAATTGAAATCTATAAACCATTCCAAACACTACGTGAACAATAATTTCCCAGTTAGATAAAGGAATAAAGATAAACTAACATTAGAATGCTCGCGAGGGAGGACCTGAAGCCTTCTCTATAGTCTGGAGAAGTAAAACTTCAAATTCTTCATCAATCTAACCCTCCTTAAGGAGATAAGTATCACACTTACGTTACAGCAAGCTCATTCATATATACATTGCATACTAAGAAAGGAAGTATTATTTGACTATTTACTCGAGGTAATTAGTAGACAGTTCAAACCTCATGATGAAGAAGCAGCCCTAATAGCTTTCTGCAACTCACTCTCAACATCACTTGCTCGATTCCCGTTGGAGGAGTTCTTCTTCACCTCTTTCTTCGGATTCTCTCCCCCACTATTCCTCTTATTCCTCCACTGCTCAAATCCTCCTGAATTCTCAATCACCTGCACACCTACAAACTCTGCCTCACCAACACCCTTCCTACCACCATTCCCCATCTTCATTTCCTCCAACCTATGTTTCATCTCTCTATTCTCTCTCTGCAGCATCTCCAACTCGTTTTTCATCCAAAAGCACATACCTTTCAGCAACTCTGTTTCGCGTGAATTCTTATCCTTCTTCTCCTTCACCTCCTTAACTTCCTCAATTCTCTTAATCCCGATCTTATTCACACTTAAAAACGGCATCCTGCTTCCCAAATCCTTTGGAAAATTCACACCCCAACGACAATCCATCACAACCTTATTAGTCAAAGGCATTTCCGTCTTCGCCATTACAGCAATCCCCTTAAAGACAGAATCTTTCGCATAATCCTCCATCGAGAATTCCTTAAAACTCGATGGCCTCTCCAAAGGAACAAACCCAAATGAATTTCCATCACCATTCTGCTTACCCACGGCAGTAGAACTAGAATTCAGGTCAGAAGTAGTGGTTTTACGAAGCGAAAAGGAACCCAATTGGGGTTTGAAGAGAAGGGTAAAAGTGGGATTTTGATTAGAATTCAAAGGGGAGAAGGTAAAGTTAGCAGAAATGACTAAAGGTGAGTTCTTGGGAGACCCAAAAACCCCAATTCCAGATTTGAGCGTCAGAGTTAAAGGAGGGGCGATTGGGGTGGTGGAGCTGGGAGTGATGGGAGTTGAGGCAGTGGAGTAAGCGAGTTTAAGAGTAGGTCCAGAAGGGAAACTGGTGGCAAGAGAAAGGGAGAGATCAGAAGGGTGATGGGTGGTGGTAGAGAAGCAAGAAAGGAAAGGAAGATTGAAAATGGAAATGGGGATTTTGGCACGGAGGAGAAGTGGGTGTGTTTGTGATTGTTTTTGGTGATTCTGGGTTTGAGAATTCTCTTGGAGTTTCAGTGAGAGCTTCATCGTTTTTCTCTTTGAATGTAAAATGGAAGCTTAACGTTTATGGGGATACTTGCCTTACCAAGATTGTGAAGCAGAGAAGCTCTGGAGAAAAAGCTGAGTCTGAAGATGCTATGTTGACGGGATGTTGATTTGGGCTTTAAACAATGGGCCTAAAGCTAAAGGAAATGGGCCTAAAAAATTTCATGGCAAACAGATTTAAGGAAATAATATTTTATAGGGCAACTTTCACATATAGCAAACAAAAAAATCATATTTGTATAATATAGCAAACTTTGCATAATTGCGCTCCATAGCAAACATAAAAACTGTATAATTCGCTATACATATAAAAGTGTATAATTCGCTGGCCTAAATTGTATAATTCGCTAGCCTAAATTGTATAATTCGCTGGCCTATTTCGCTGCAATTGTATAATTAGTTTTGCATACAGTTGAATCGAATTAAAATGTATCTATATTGCATAATTATAAGTGTATAGCAAGAAGATATATGTTTTTCTCGCTTTATACAAAAACAGAAACACAATATATACACTTCTGTTGTATAAAGCTAGAAAAAATTGTATTTCACTGCAATTGTATAATTCACAATTGTATAATTCTTTGGCCTTTTTCTCTGCAATATTTAAAGTAAAATGTTTGTAAATTATATAATTAAGTGTATAACACGAAGATATACATTTTTGCATGTGTATATACAATTTTCTCTCGCTTTATACAAAACAGAAATTATACACTTCTGTGTATAAAGCGAGAGAGGCGAGAATGGGAGAGTGGCGAGCGAGACTTCTGGGAGAGAGACGCCTGGCAAATTTTTGCCAACGTTTGCTATGGAGCACAATTAAATCAAACCCTAGCTATTCCATTTAATTTAGGTTATTAGTTTGCTATTTTATACAATTTTCCCTATTTTATATCCCTATAGTTATAGTTTATCTAATTACGTTTTATAGGTATAATTTAATTTGTTATGCAATGTTAATTTTGTTTTTTAATAAATTGATACATAATGCTAAATATGGTAATAGAAAATTTACCTAATCCCATGATTCAAGCTAAATATTTTAAATTAAATATTTTTTTTATAAAAGAGTTCTATAACGATACAAACACCATAACAATTATTTTTCTCATACTATTGATGCCAAAATTAAACAAAAAGTAATGGTTAATTAATATTCTTGTCGCCTATAAAGAATTTCTTTCAATTAAATTTCATGTTTTGAACAATAAAAAAGAATATTTTTGATTTTTAAATTGAAATTTTCATATACGAATTTTGGTTGTTTTGAATCTATTAGAATTATTGGTTCAACAAATTAAATGAAATTGTCCGTATGTTAATCAACTTTTATCATTTTGTATATGTGGCATATGTATATATGAATTGTATGTGTCGAAAAGAAAAGGTTGTGATTTGTTTTCATTAACATATTATGATTTATATTTTGTTAAGATATGTATATTTCTTATATTACGTATATATATAAATATATAATAGTGTAAAATTAATTGAAGTAATTGTATAAATATTTTGTTATGTAAATAATTGTAAATCTATAACTCTGTCAATATACAAGTGTTTTGATTTGTACATGTATACTGATCATTTATGAATATGTATAATGCTATGATTTACTTTGATTATATATACAAATGATGATATGTTTACCTTGTATAATGCTTAACATTAGGCCTTCATTCAACCATTCCCAGAAGGCTGTATCTATAACTCTGTCAGTATACAAGTGTTTTGATTTGTATATGTATGTTGATCATTTATGAATATGTATAAATAAGGTTAAATTGATTTCGTATAATGTTATGGTTTACTTTGATTGTATATACAAATAATGATTTGATTTACTTGTGTAATTCTAACATTAGGTCTTCATTCAATCATTTCTAGAAGGTTGTATACAATGATTATTCATCCGCTTCGGACGTTGAAACAGAAAGATGAATCGGTTTGAAATTACTGGACACTTTGACGAACTACTTGAAAAGTATAAAATATTGATATTAATGTATATATCATACAAATATATTTAAAATGAAAAATTGTTAATTACCAGAATCAGATCCAAATGATGTCATGTATAACAAAGTATTGAATCGACATGAACGTCTGTTCTTATTGGTCAGTAATGGTGGTTGGTCATCGACAACTGTTGATTGATCTATTACAATGCTTCTCATAGGATTCAAACTTAACTCAATATGATTCGTTAATTCTGCTTGAGATTCGTTGATAATTTTTTTTAATTTGAATCAACCATAGGTACGATTTGTACTGGGACATAATAGGAAATGGACATAATATATATATATATATATATATATATATACACACACAAAAAATAAATAAAAAACACAATTTAGGTGGTTACGTACAAAAGTGAAACTACAATTAGGAGGGAGAGAGTGAATTTCAAATTAAATGTGAGTGAGTGAATTTAGGAGAAAGTTAGGAAAATAGAAAGAAGACAGATAAACTTTGATTTGAATAAACTTTTATACAACGGAAGAGAAGGGTTGATTAGGTATACAAATAATAGGTTGGTCCCTTATTTAATGGCAAAATTTCTAAAATTGTATTCATTCAAAGTAATTAAATTAAACTTTACCCGCGCTGAATAATAACATAGTAATGTTTGTCATTCCGCATAATACATATGTATGAGAACTTTTGCAAATAACCACTACGATAAATTTAATTATGCTCCATAGCTGTAGTTTGAATATTTACGGGTCGTAGCTACAATTTAAGTTGTCTCGTTTATATAACTTGTGGATTTGTATAATTCAGTTGTTTTTGTATAAATTCAAAATAACAAATTTATATAATTACAAACATCAGAAGTGTAAACAATTATACAAATTCTGAATTATATAAAGTTGTAGAAATTTTGAATTATACAAATGTGTGAGTTATACAAATCTAAAAAGTTGAGCTACGTAATTATAACTAAAAGTAGGTCGTAAATTGAAATTAAGGCAAACTATAGTTATGGTAACTAATAAACTAGAATATGTCTGTTTATACGCGTAAATATCTATATTCATTATAATTTTTAAAATAAGGAGAGAGGCGAGCGAGATTTGTTATATATGTTATTTACACCAGATGCATACTATATACATGTATCTGTATATATCTCGTGTGATTCACATGTATCGAATATCCCGTATACATAAGAGAGTGGTGAATGAATTTGTTATGCATCCCACATATACAAGCTAATCCACTAGAATAAAGTGTGTCTAAACAAATTGCGCCTAGTTTGACCCAATGTATCTCAAGATACATGATTCTAGTTGTATATGAGCATATGTGGACGAACCATCTGATAAGATTGGTAATATTGTAAATTTTAATATAACTAAGAGCATGTTTGACATTGTTGTTGAGAGGTCAGAAACACTTATTTTAAGCGAAAAACACTTTTATTAAAAATAAGACGTTTGACAAATCAGTAAAAGTGATTTTAAATGGAGCCGATAGCACTTTTTCTATTGTTGGGAAGAAGCTAAAAATTTCTGCTTCTTACAAAAGGGAGAAACAGAAACAAAAATGATTTTTTCTCGAACTAAAAAATCATTTTCTATTATACATATTTACCAATATAACTCTTATTAATTAATTAGCATATTTTATAGTTTGATTAAATATCATTTAAGAGTTTTATTTTTTATTTTATATAATAAATTTTATAATTTATTTTACGTTTATATATTAAATATTATTTTATATATTATATATTTTTTTGTAGAATTAGAAAAAGTGTAATAACAATATTTTTACATGATTAAAAAAATAATAATAACAATTAAAGATTTCAGGCTCCCAAAAAAGATATATTATTGATTAAAGATTCAAGAGGCGTCATTTTTGTAAAGTCATAATTGAGTTATTGCACTTTAACTTTTTAAAAAAATTTCAAGATCACTATCATCTTGGACTGGTCTATTTTTAGATTTGCGTAAGAAGTTACAACAAATGTTTGGAAACTAAAAATAAAAGAGTCAATGCGCTTAGCCTCTTATTTTTTATGATTCAAGACTAATATGTTTCTAAATTTTGGCATATATATTAGTTAGAAATTGCTTTTAAATTATTTGGAAAACAAGATAGAAAATGCTTATTGAGGTGAATTTGTATAAGTATAAGATCCCATATTTAATATGATTAATTTAACTACTTCATAGCGAGAGAATACATATAAAAAAAAATTAATATTTAAATAATTTATTAAAAATTAAAATATGACTTAATTCGAATATATAAATGAAATATATTACAAATTTAAGAAGCCTCATTATTGTAAAGTTGACCAATAATAAAGGATCTCATTATTGTAATATTGACCAATAATAAAATATTTTGACCAATTCTACTAACAAAATTTAAAAGAGATACACACAATTCCAAGTATACAAGTTATAGCTATAAATAGATACTCATAGCTATCTCCCCTTCACACATACAATAACCAACTTCATTTCTACTTACAAATCATGCCTCATCATCTACCATCATTCAATCTGATCCGGCTCCACCATCACTATCTCCAATGCCTCAACCACTAATATTCAATAGTACCATTTCCCATTTTGTTGATCAAACACCTAATTGTAGTTGGGGAATAGGGATTTCTGATCATTACGATGTTAAGTTTCCATATTTACAACAACTAAAAAATAATAATGAACATTAATCAAGAACCCGCGTACCTGACTCAAATTATAACAGAAGGAATGAAGTCGGGATAGAGGCTTGCGACAACCACATGAATTTTCCAGGGAAATTCATATGGTTATCATTGGCTTTTATCCCTAATCTCATTCCTTCCGTTAAAATTTGAGCAGACACATAGATAGGGTCTTGGATGTCCTTAATATCTCTTGTTATTGTTCATATGGAAACTAAATGTCAGTGAATGGCCGGAGAGCCCCATCTCCAACTACGAGTGGGGTGTGTGGATTTATGGGGTTTCCTAATATACTTATTTTGAATAAACAGAGTAGCCTATCGATTTAAGCAAGCCCGGCTAGTTTAGGCGCCGCATTCTAGACTTCTAAAAGCGGGTGGT